GGAGCAGCGGGGTCCCCCCGCGCCGTGCTGTGGAGCCCCGCGGAGGGGCTGGGAGCAGATCCGTCCTGGCGGGCACGGCGGCGCCGCTCCGCACGGCGAGCACCGCTCCGGACTACTTTTTCGATTATTTAATGAAGGCCGAAACTCAGAAAGTCCCCGACGTGTGTACAGCCACGTATCCACAAGTGAACGGCCGAGGGTGCGAGGTGTGCCCGCCAGCCAGTCAGGCTGCTGCGCCGGGTCGGCGGGTACTGGGGCACTGTTTGAAATACTTATGCTTGCTTTCTTCTGCATTTTAAACACCCTTTTCCCCCCAAATACACCAGAAATTATCTTCTGTTACTGAACAGAAAAGATATTTTCTGCTTTAAAAAACCTCCAACTTCTTATATTTAAAGACTTTGATTAGTAGGACAAAGCTGATCGGTGTTACTGCTAAGAAGAAAATGTAATACCTTTCTCCTTGGTGTGCTCTGTGGCTGCTGTTTCTTTTTCCTTTGTTTTTTATTCCTTTTTTTGTTTTGTTTTGTTTTTTTTTTCCTTTGGCACTGGTATTCCTCTAACTCCACCATGAGTTGGCATAGATGGTGAGATGGATAAACTGGAAGGACACCATTTTATTGTAGATGGTCTAACCCCTCAGCTGGACTATTGCTGTGGTGGATATAGAAAGTGCTGGGGCAGCAGCCAGACAGGTTCAGTCGATTCTGCTATTGTCAAATCACAAAGAGCATTTTTACAAAATCAGCGTAGCGCTTCTCTTAGCAGAGAACAAAGCCACAGCTAAAATATAGGGCATATAGGCATCATCAAAGTCAGGTAGACAAAAGGAAGTTTCCATGTCTTATTTTAACTACATCTGGTCAACAGATCTTTCTTTTAATGGGTTTAAAATAACATACTTCAATACCAGTTGCTCCTTGATATAGGATAATTATTTGAATATCAGTCAAGTAATTTCTTTATTAAATTCTCACAACACATTGGAGTTTCAGGCATGCTGTAATCTCAGCATAGAAATACCTAATGGAAGCATTGCTCAAGAAAAGAAAGTCTTTATAGCTTTTAATTCTAAATTATGATATAGATATATCTTAGTTTGACAGTTATTTCAGTGCTTAATATATGAAATTTCACCATGTTCCCTGATTAGTTCTTAGGTGACACTGTCTACGTAATAGACTAATAAGGTCAGTATGCCAAAGAGGCTAGCTCCTTTGATAAGCAATTATTTGCAA